AGTGGTACTGAAGATTGCGGCAACATTACGAGAGTCTCCTGGAAAGAACGAGGAACATTATGGAAGAATTTATGCGTTGTCCATTATAGACGTAAGTATAAAATTCTAAGCACATAACCAACTAAGTTTCAGGACGCATACGGAAACACCGACTTCCTCTTGGATAAACCAAGAAATAATTGTTGATTGACACAAGTGAAAGACTGAATGAAAGTCAAAACAGTACAAACAGTACAATTAGGATGCCAGCTTATATGAAATTTCAATGTGACTTGCAAATCTAAGGCTTCATCGGATTCGATCGAATGTTGCGTGCTTGCAGACTTTTGAGTGCAGAATTTAGTGAACATTAAATATTTGTCTGTATGAAAAGGAAAACACTTTTTAATGAAATGTTTCCAAATTTCTACTAAATTTTCAAAAGTTGTGAGTACAACGTAAACTAGGTTTGGTACTGTTTGTTCAAGCTTACTGTTTGCTTAACTTTGTTCAGCAGTATGGTTGTGGTGTTGTTCCAAAGTTTTCCATAGGGAGTTGTACGTACCTTTTATCACCTTCCTTAATTACATTTTCGCTCACCATCTGCGCCGTATACTTGGCTGTACATATACAGAGTGGTAATTCAATCCTTATCAGAATTTATACACAATTACTGTAAATAGTAAAATATCATACAGGTTTAAAAAAAAAAATTTTTAGATACAAAATTCTAATTGTAATTATTTTCTTATCTAGTGAGAGAAAAATTTACAATGCTAAAAAATAAAGTACAGTGCGATAAAACATGTAACAAAAGACAAATACTGCATTGTCTTTATTTCCCTTCTTTGAATATTTATGCCCTAAAGTCGGAAAGAATTTGAAACGTATTCGCTACATTTTCAGATATTTCCTAAAAAAATTTCTCTTTGAATAACAAAGATGAATAACCTTTCTTTTTAAATTGGTTTTGTGCGAATACGGCCAAAGGAGGATTATTTTGATATTCGTGAACTCGGTCCATTGTAAACAGATTCGTTTCCTTCAGTTTGTCATCCGTCATCGGCGGTGTCAAGCGCGTGTTTTGTTCGGAAGAAAAACATCGGAATAAAGACGAAGCGAGCGCAGAAAGAAGATCGCTACAAATACAAGTTGCCGCCGACATAATCAACCGTGGGAGATAAAACACGACACAATATACGTCTGTATGTTTTAACGTCGTTATGAATTTCCGTACGTCAATCGTCGATCACGTTGCCTTGCATCGATAGTCAACAGAAATTCAAACGAGGTGGTGATAGCGATCTACCGGGCGCAAAATAGTGAATAGTGATCATTCACCATTTTGCGGTACTTTGGCACCAATCATCTGCGGACATCTTCCTTAATTTTAATACAACCTACAACCGATCAATGCACAAAAATAGTGATCAGTGACACATTCCAACCAGCCCGAAACATACTTTCTCTACTTAATGGTTAAGCCGACATTGGTTCACACCCTTGCGCAAAGCACATTTTATTTAATCAAACTGGAAACAGATTGTCTACTTCAGTTTTCCGTTTTCGAAGTTAAAAGCAACCTATTTTGTTTAGAAAGTGTAAACCTGATCCTTTTAGTTTAAAATAAAGTCCACAAGACTTTTCAAAAGCTATCCCGGTAAATTTCCAATATTTGTTGTTCTTCTTCTTAAAGTCAAGTTCTTAATGTGGAAAAAAATATTGCCAAGCGTTGGGGAGACCAGTATTTTATTTATATATATATATATATATATATATATATATATATATATATATATATATATATATATATATATATATATATATATATATATATATATATATATATATATATATATATATATATATATATATATATATATATATATATATATATATATATATATATATATATATATATATATAAACATCTGAAGCATAACTTTAAACCATTTTCCCTAATTTTATGGTAAAACTAAAATAATTTCCATTTTAATCTATTTCTATTTACAATTTTTCAAAGGAACTTCCACATTGTAATACTATTTACAAATCTGCTGGAATCCTCCTGAGTCGGCTGTTGATGACTCGAACTTGCTGATGTTTCGCCAATCATCCGTCTTCAGAGCATAAATGAAACTGTTTCAGCCAATAGGATGATTGCGGAAACGTGACCAAGTTCGCGTAAATTTTATTTGCAATATTTGCAAGGATTTACCGCACCGGCAACCGAAAATTTTAACACTAGAAGATTAATATGTAACATTTTCCCTACTTAGAGAGAAACTTTAGAACAGTAGATCGAAGCAGTAACAGGCATAGTAGTCGTCATTTTAAATGACTAAAAGCACTAAGGAGCTTTAGATAAGTCCCTCATAAAAGGTCTAGCTTCGCAATGAACACAACCATTCTGGATAGCACTAATTACACATTAATTTTATCATATTCTAAACAATAGATTAATTTTGCAAACTGACATAAGATTTATACAATATAATTACCACAGAAATAGCTTCCGACGTTTAATAAAATAAATAAATAAAAATAAAATAAATAAATAAAAATAAAATAAATTAATTAAAAGAAATTATAATAACTTTTGTATATAAATGGTCAGGAAGCTATATAAATATTAAGACTATAAAATAGACTTTACAACCATTAACACAGAGCGCAGTTGATGATTACTAATAAGTATAATAATAGTATTTGGTACTTACATTTAATTAATTAGTCTTCTTAAACCTTATTGTTCATGACTGCAAAGGTGTGCATGTAATGATTTTCTTAGTAATATTAGAAAATAATTCTTAGACTGTGAAACTAAACTGACGGATTTCTCATTGTAGGTTAATCCTAGGTTTCGCATTTGTTTTTCTTTTCATTAATATTCATCCTGAAATATCTCCTAGGTATAGCATCAAACTGAACACACATTACGTAGTATACGTGTCATCAGCTGTCGCGATGTTTATCCTCGCATTTTCAATAATCCATCCCATCCTATAATGGGCGCTTAGTCGGAAGTACCGTATCTCCGTCGAACGAGTCGTGATGTTCACCTGTTTTTACGCGTTTTCAGCGTGCCGCGTGTTGATTTATTTTAACAAGATCAAAAACGATACTCGAAAATCCCGATAAGCGGATAAATCACGACAATCCCGGCGCGACTGGGTTGTTATTTATTACTTGTTTTGGAAATCGGCGCCCGGATAATCGAGGCATTCGATTTAGGAACGGCCGAAACAACACCTACGCGCACCCACCACCGCACCTGGAATGAGCCCAGCGATGGCGCTTCGATTTTTTCCAAATTCGCTGGGTTTTTGCTGGTTTAATTTTTAAAATTTAATTAGAATTCGCGTTCGGTAATTAACTCTATTATACGGGAATCGTATCGCCACCAACTTAAACTAGTCTTGGAAATGCAGAAATTTAATTTTTGGAATTAATCGGTTAAGAAATAAAATGTTTTGTTTTTTGCTGCAAACCACTTTGTCAGCATAGTCATGAAAGTGTATCCCACAAAGGTGTTCTCTTAGAATGAGGTCACCAGGGGCCAAATATACGGAATAGGTTCCTTATTCGACAATTTCGATTTCTGCATTGTGAATTACGGTCGTCGAAACTCTTGATCAAGCAGCAGCAACAAACTCATAATTCCTCTGCGGTTATGTACTCAAGCAGTTTACTACTGCCAGCAATATCTGATATGAGTACGTCCGTAGAAGGGCATTCTAAAAGCCCAAATGCTGTTGCACGAAACTATTTCTGAGGGATCATAGTAGTAAACCAGGCTTAAATAACAGTAACGAAAATTGCTCGTCTCGTAAAAAAATACTCTGAGCTATGAAAGGCCGATATGGTGCTTCCCCTATTTTGGTTCCCACGTCTGCTTACCTAGTTTGATGGAAGTTAAAGAGAAACTCTCTGGAATAATAGAAGAAACAACGAAAGCTTGAAAGCTCGCTTGAAAGCTTTAATTAATTTTGAGCACTCACTTCTATTGCATGTCGGAAAAGTAATAAATAACATTGCCAAGAAAAATGGCTATTGATTAATTTGCCTATTGTCGCGTCTAAATATCGTTTAAATATTACTTTCGATGATTTCCAGATTTTAGTTTTTTCGAGACGTACCAGAAATTCAAGAAACTCGACGAATGATGATTTTCCATTCGATGCTACTAACAAAATTTTCGGACTTATTCCTCCATTTCTGTATTATTTTATGTCTAGTTTTCATAAAAAAAGTTGGAATTAACATACCTCCCTTCCATTTACCTTTGTAAAAAATTTACTGGATGCAGCAATGATGTAAGTGCATCGGCTGTACTTTAGCACAACTTTTTTGTGTAAGAATGATATTACCAGTAGGTACTATCTATACTAGGCAAGTGTAATATGTAAAAGTTAGGGAAGGTTTTTTTCACAGGATTTAGGAAATGGTTATAAGAACACTTTTGGATACCTAATGAAATACCTATTCAAGCATGTAAATCTTCATTGGTGGTTACTACCACCAATTTTTATTATTATTTTTTTTATTTTATTATTTTATTTTACTAATATCAGATCGAAAGTGTAGGTAAATTCACTACCTACTTAGTTGCTGGTTAAAAACATTTAAATTTAAAAATTTAATAAATAGACTATGTAATTAGGTTGTAAAGGTAATTTTATTTCTTTGCAGTTTTTTTACCTTTCCGCTTTACGTTATAAAGAAACTAAAAAAAATCAAATTAATCCGTATTTATTTGCGCCACCCTATTCCTCCTGTACATCTCATTAAAGTTGTACGTGATTCTTATTAAGTGTCCCGTCTCTTTCTGAGACAAAAAAAATTACGTGTGCCAATATACCGCGATATCAACACTTGACGCATAATTAAACAACCATAATAAAATGTTGACTAGAAGGCCGCGTATAGAAATTAAATGTCAAAAAGTGAGGTTAGGCGCTTTTCACAACCAGCTCAGGTGCCTGGTAACCAAAACAATAACAATAACCGAACGTACTCACCAAAAACGAACCAAAATATCCAAACCAATACGATTGATTCAATTGCGCCCTTCATAATTGCCCTTTAATTGCCAGCCATTTCGTCATCAAACTTCTCGGCATTAAAAGTCCATTTTCGCCGGAACCAGTCACGAAATGAAACGTACCATAATTTCGGACAGCTAATCGACGACCCTCCTGTCACTGGCAAATCGAAATTGACGCGATTGTTGGAAACACACGCTGAAAACACGTTTTGTTTTTCAGACACGGCGCCTCTCTTCGAGAGCGAAACACGAAACAAGCGATCGCCACACAGCCTCGGACGAAATATCTCGGTCTCGGAGTTTTCAGCCAGTTTCACCACACACACGCACACACGGGCAGAGTCGATTATTGACCGGGCTACGGATGCCTTGCGCCGAACGTCGGGCTCCTCTCCTCCCCCGCCGATCAGGGGCGGATTCTTTAGGCGCTGTTTCGTACACCATCCAGATCGACGATTTAAGACTCTTTTTTCAGGAAAAAGATCGGATCTTATACCAGGTGTCCCAAAAGGGGCAACGGTATGAGGTAAACGGATAGTCATAGAAATTTGAAAAAAAAAATCATTCGCCTAAGAGAAAATGCTGGAAATTATTTTCGAGTTTCTGAAATGGCCACCAGGTGGCGTAAATGACATCTTGAGCTTTAAAATCCGAGTTCTGTAAAATTTTCTTATATTACCCATATTTATGGTGAGTACTGTTTTAGAGCCGATACAAATTCAAATCGTGACTTAAGTATAGAGTTTATTTGCAAGCAAATTTGCTTAGAAACTCTCACAAGTTACTTGCGGGCCAAGCGCTTGACGATTTGTTGTACACGGCTAATTTAAGCAAACTTTTTTATTTCGAGACTGTTTGGAAATATTTGTACTGCAAATTTTGCAACCGGTGGCGAAATTTTTTGAAACTAAGTATTTTGAATTTTTTTTTTTCATAAAATAGAACTAAAAGTTGGAAATTTTAACAAAAATGGAGGAACGCAATTTTAGGAACAGGGGAGAAACGCTTTCGTTAATTGAAAGTTTTAAACTGTACCTAGAAATATGCAACGTACATTCCAAAGATTTTAAAAATAGAGTGAAAAAGCAATGTGCGTTTCAAAAAAAAAAGAACAAATTGAAACATACGTCACTTAGCAACACTACCGAATTAGAATTGGAAAAACACGGAAAAGGAAACTACTAAAGTTGTATAAAAAAAGGGGGAATTGTTTAAATTTCTTTAAATTTTGATAATCTGCTAAATGTAAATTTTAATTTTTACTCCGAAAACCTATTCTTTCAGGTGTGTAACATTTCATTTTCGAAATGTTTTAGCATTCTGGGAGCAATTGTCAGAGTTTTTTGCCGGAGTAATTTACTGCAATAAATATTATAACAAATTAGAATACAGTATAGACGCATCGTCAAATACTTAGTGAAATGAACACGGGACTTTAGAATCATTATTAGATTAAAATAAAGGTTTTCAACATCAAAATCACAGCTATCCATCTTATAATTTCGATGCAAATTCGTTTATTATTTCGACCTGAAAAAATTTCAGATTAACCTTAACACACTGAAATTATCAAATCACAAGCGACACCAAGAGGCAATAAAATCTTAGATAACCCACTGGTGTATAAAAGGTTTCCTCCAACTGTGAAAACCATCCACCAATTTTTACATGCATCAGTTGTTCGTTTGTAAAATATTTCAAACCTGTTTTTAGTTTGAGGTTGCAGCGAACTAAATAACTTCTCCATCGTTTGTAAAGTAGTTGTTTTATAGGCTCCCGGAGGTAAAAACCGACAAGCCAGAATGGTTAAACAGAGCCTTGTTAAAATAAGCAAGTTAATGGCGCCTTCCAATACAATCAGCAGTGCTGGGACCATCTTGAATAACCGCGAAATCAAAAATTCGGTGATTCTAAGTTAAAACCGCGAAAACTTCTAACGAGCAACTATATACTGCGTGTTTCAAAAAAAGTGATCCAACGTTCTACTAGAGATTCGTCATAAAAAAAAAAGAAAAAAGGTAATTATAATCTGTGGAGAACAATAAATAATAATTATTGAAGCTTTTAATTAAATGAATAATATAAAGCCAGAGTAACCGTTCAAAAACCAACCTTTGAATAGCTCATAACATTTTGGATTATTATAATAAAAAAACTCGTGGTAATATGCCTAAAGCTTAACAACTCTTCTCCAACCAGTCTGTACACAAGTAAGAATAATAATTGAGTAAAAGAAATAATTTTAAATTTGGTTGGTGTAAGAGGCTATAAATTGAAGCTGGGACACTCTCTATATATACAGATCTGGAGTGGTCGCGGTTCAAAACGCATCCCAACCGGTATTGAAATACAATTGTTTTTGTGCGCCGGCGAGGATGCACCGCGGGCCATAATTGGCAGTTTAATGTTATCAGATTTCAGCGTTCCTATTGTCAGTTCAACTTGCGACATTTTTTTTTTAAATTAAAGCCAGACTTTAAAAAACAATAAACAATAAACAATCATTGTGTCAGAATTCGCTAATATTGTTGCCAACGTAAAATGCACACAAAAGGCTTGTGAATAGATAAATTTTTGCTATCTTGTTTTAACGAATTTAGATTTGTTTGGTAAATACAATGAAAAAAAAACACCATTCAAAGTTTGCAATACACACTGAAACGATCACAGTCACAATTCTCGAATATTATTTTTCAATTGGCACTGCTAAATTGATAATAATTATTGTTGTGCAAAATAAATTTATTTTTTGATGAAAAACGGGCCAATATAAGCTAATATTTCAAGGCAAAGGTATTTTGACATTTGTCAATTTTGACGCCCTCGTTACACGCCAGTAAATGTATTGGTGCTGTTTTGCAAAAACATATGAAAAAACTAAGAGTCGCAAAAAAAGTATAGTATACAGATTGGTAAACTTCTTCAGCTACCCGCACTGCACTGTCAAATGAAACTCGTGACTAAAATGGCGTTTATCAAACTTTATACATAATATACACTGACCAAGCTTGCGCAAAAAATCACTTTAAGACGTAAACTCCGCCAGGCACTGTAGAGATCAACTTTCAACCACTGATGGTATTTTGATCTTTCACAGTTCTGATGCTCACGTCACGCTTCACTCAGTAAAAGTTTTCCTGCTGTTTTGAAAAAATATACCCAAAAAGTAATGGTCGTAAAAAACGACGTTAAGCTTCTTCAGTCAATAGTTTATTAAACACGCACTCCTCGGCGATCTTCTCGTGCCAAATAAAACTCGTGACTAAAGTGACTTTTATCAAAATAAAAGTACCAATTGAAATTGTTATTGCGCAACAGATTGTTGAAAAATTTTCGATTTGGCCACAATAAAGCGCCAACACTCATGGTGGTTTCAACTGTCTTCCGAAGTAGGCAGTAGGATGTTTATTTGGCGATAGTACAGCACAATATCGGTATTTGATTTTTGAGAGATATCTACCTTTTTATTATCCATAGACCAAGTTCATTCATGAAAGAATTTGGCGCTAATAAACATTAGTTTGCTGCTATTTTTTGTGACCCAGAATCTACCCCCGGATTTCCGTAGCAGTAGAGTAAAAATTAGTATACAAAAAGGATTATTAGCGACCCGATGACATGCAAAACCTAACGTTATCATGATCATCTGGCTGATGGAAACGGCCCCAATTAAATTAAATGAAGTTAATTCAAATACCTAGGGAAAGAGACAAAAATTTTGCTGGGGAGGATCGACACATATTGAGTTATAAATTAAACGTCCTTTTTTTACCACAAACATCTTTCTCTGAATGTCTAATCGTTGTTCAAATTTAATGGTATATTACGCAATTCCCCTTAAGTCACGAATTTGATTTGGCACTATCGGAACATTTCATTAATGAATAAAATGAAATGAAAAATCTAAAAGATAAAAAAAATCTTTTTCTTTTCGGCGCTTTCAAATCCTTGAAGCCAGTTTGACAAAAAGTTATATATATATGTAAAAATATTATTTATTAATCACTACGCGCGCACGGAACTTTAATCTTGGGGAGGCTTGATATTACGTTTTTTCATTAATCTATCAACTTCCCGTTTCTGTTCATCGTTTAAACCTATCTGACCGTAAATATCCAGCTCTTTTTCCAAATACTCGATTTTCTTCTCTAAATACTCTCTCTCGCTGCTGAAATCGGGAGTAAGCGAACTAAATACCACGTCCAGAGGCAAATATTTCTCCAAACACACCCGATTCCTGGCCATCAATTCCAGAATGTGTTGTCGTCTCAACTCGACGGTGTGGCACCAAGATCTAAGATCCGTTGCCGAGCTGTACCTTTTCATTCGTGATTCTGAACGCGTGTGAGGCAGATAGATGAATTCTCCTTCGCGAAATATGCGTTCTTTTTTGTTGGCGTACGACATTTTATTTTACGTTTACATACATGGAGAAAAGTTTCCAAAATTATTAGTGACAAATTCACTGGAGCTTTAAGGTTAGCTGTCAAAAAATGTTTTGAAACTTTCAAGCATGTCCACTTATAAAAACCAAAACATATTGTCCCAGGTTTCTGGTTAATGGTGCGTGCGCAAGGCAATAAAAATTTACAATTTGGTTAAATGTATTTTGTTAAGTCAATTAAAAAATAAATAAAAATTACAGTACGAAAATCAATTATGTACAGAAAGAATACCATTAATAGAAATTTTTCCATAATAAGGGTTTATTTATCTAAGCATTATATCACCAAGTCAATCAAGCATTTTACAAATTACTTACGTCTCTTGTGAACGCATTGAGTGATGCAAAAGTTGATTATTGTGGTTTTATACGTGTTGCTGCATTTACTTATAATTTTAAATTACTTCAGCAGATAATTCTTTGTAACAGTAAAAACACTTTTTGCTATTTTTTTAGTGACAATTGACAATTTCGTTAAGAACTTGTTTGCCGCTGTAAATTTTATCTGAATGAAAGTATCAGTTAAAATAAATCAAATCAGAAATTTTAAGAATTGAAGAATTATAATGCAGGCATAGCTTGTGATGCTTTGATCTATATGACTAAGTTAAGGTAAGGTAGTATTCTATTTGAAAATAAATTAATTTTTAACTTCTTATTGCCAAAAGAATTCCCAACTGGTGATATGCTCAAATTTAAAAAAATTAAAATGTTGAACCTTTTAACATTGAAAACTACACTCCGATGGTCACCCAATGTTTAAAACCTACCACCTATAATGTCTCTAAACTCAACAGTTCCTTTTAGTCATTTATAAAATACGAAATGCACAGGCAGCTCTCCAGTTCATTAATATATATATATATATATATATATATATATATATATATATATATATATATATATAAAATGACTTTACTACACTTATGTATAATCTGAAAAAAACTGAACCTATCTTGATTAAATTTTCAGAAAATAGCAGTTAATTATTGTTCATTGCGTTAGGATAAGAATAAAATTGTTTCTAAGCTAAAAAAAGTCTATCTTTCGTGCAACTACAATAATTTTCAAAAGTTTATTCTAAAATTTAGCATGAAATCTGAATTACTAAGTTCGTCATTTTACGAGACAGACGTTCTAAAATTAACCTCCACTATTTTTTCTTCATTTCACTTTACATCGTCCAAAAATTGAAGAATATTGGTTCTAGAGTGTGCTTTATTTTTATTTACTGCGATATCCACAACCATTTTAAAAAGATAAATGCAGAGTCTGAGTTGATGATTTAATAAATCTAATAAATAAGTAACTTTCCTTTTGATTTTTTATTGTATTGTAAAATTTGTTCTATGAATCGATCAAATAGCAAAACGTTTCTAAATGTGAAATTTATGATAAGTTTTTATAGTACTTTATAAAATAAGTGCATTCAAATCAAAATCAAATTTTTCACAAAAATTGACAACCTACCAGTCCCATGAATTAGATTTCAATTACAGAATAACTTTTGCTCAAGTTCATATCTATCATATACCTGATAATTAAATTTTAAATGTCATTTGAAAACCAACCAAAACCTAGAAGCTTGCGACACAATGTTTTTACAAGGCACTTACTAGTTTCAAATATTCTTGTATTTTTTTAGAACGTTGCATTGTATTTGCAAATTTGAAGAAAATTTGTCAAATAAAGCTGGTGGTTTAAGCTATTCTGAAAAAAGAATATTTTCAATAGGGCACACTTTTGCTCTTTTTGGACTTTCAGTTTCGCGAAGATGCTATTTAAAGCTTGAACATAACAACACGTGGTTAAAGACGCGGTCGTTTGACGCCGTTATTTTGAATTGGGCGGAAATGGGACACCGAATTTTTGTTGACCGCTTGGCATCTGGTTGGAACACTTTTTCCTGATGATCGAGATAGCCCCCACGATGAAGCCAAGACATTCTCTAGCACGTCGTTTCCGCACTGGTTCAACTAGATTACCGGCCGATTAATTCTCGTTTGATGGTCAAACTCAAGTCGGCATCGCGCCATGAATGGTGTCAGTAGTTTGATTAACGGTCCATGTTTTGGCGGTTATTCGTTTCGCGCGAAAATTGATTAGGGAACCGATGCGCAGATGAACCCTATGCGGAGTTTGAGGTGTCGCGGTATATTTTGAAAAGACCATGAAATTGTGGTGCAACGTTTTGGTTGTAATGTGTTTGTTCCTATGTTTAGTTGAGGGTAAGGTGTCTATTAATTCTATTTTTGAGGACACCAAACACGTTTCGTCACAGGATGACTTAATTATTCGATTTCATGATTTGGTTGGGCGTTACGTTTAAAAACATAACTTCGCTCGTCTTAATTAATTTTTTAAGAAATAATAAAGTGTAAAATAGGTTATGATTAAATGTTTTTCAGTTATAATAGAACGGATAATGACAAAAATATGTTTGTATCATATTTTTAATAGAAAGATTAAAAAAATGTTCCCAGTTTTTTAAGATACTAAATAGTACTAAATTGTACATAAATCACTTGAAAAAAAAAGTTAAATGCACAATTATTATTTTCTAATCTGCCTCGGAAGAATAGTAATGGTCGAGGGCAATACCGAAAAATTCCTCCAGACTTTTGCCAACATTTTAAGTTTGAGTCATCAAAATTCACCCAAGCAGCAGAAATTTAAATGAACAAAATGAGCGAGAATGTTACCAATGTTACCTATATTTTGATTCCAGTTAGCTGCCTCCCATCTTTATTACATTTGGATGGTTAATTCAAGGCTAAAAATGCAATTATACAATTTTTGGACATTTGGCGTATTTTAACTTTTAATTTTTCAAAATAAATAAGAACTAAAAGTTCAGATTTTCACGAAATTATATATTTTGACATGAAAATTGTTTCGACAATCAAATGATTTGATAAAGACCCGGTGTTGTCGAAACAATTGTCATGTCATAATATATAATTTCGTGAAAATCTAAACTTTTAGTTCTTATTTATTTTGATAAATGGATTTTCATCAAGCAAAAGCCACCTCAGTTCAATTTTTAATTTTTAACAATTTGTTTTTTTTTGCATTTCTTAATTGATGGCATAAGAGCAACGCTTCGTATATCATTCACATGGCTTTTGATTTTCCTTCTAAAGAATTTTCAAAGAATATTATATCGAGGGGAGCGAGACTTCCATTTAAAAGTCACTGAGCGAGTATGATGAATTTTGGTGCATTTATGCGGATTCAGTTATTCAAAAAAGGCAGGAATCAGTATTATGCAAACTATAAAGTATATAATTTATTGTAATTTTAATCTCTCTTTTATAACCACTTGCACTGACAATTTCTGCATTATTGGTGGCACTGAATAATTAAACGATATCAGATAATAAAAACTATTTCAACTAGACATCTCTATTTAAATTACTACTTTGCGAAACAGAGAAATAATTAAATTTCACGCCTTCAGTAATGTACTGTGTCAATTCGCCTTTTTTGTAGTTTGAGCAATCAGTAAGGGTAAAAATAGTATACCAATTTTAAAAAAGCAATATTAGGTAAATGGGCCACTCGAAAACTTTAACGAGAAAGTACCAAGATTGGTTTCATCTGCAGAAATCATAAGCGTTTATGTTGCTGCTTGCTCATTTAATTCTTGTTATTGCTTCATGGAGGCAGAATCAAATTTCACGCTGTTTTTTGTATGACATTGCTGGGCATCCCAAACCTTCTGATTTAGTAATACGAAATATCGACAAGAAGGCAAATCCGCCTGTAAGTATTCAATTTTTACTACCTTTTTGCGTAAATTATTATAAGAAACGAATTCCTAAACAAGGAAGTTTAAAAATATCAACAATTTCGCTATTAGAAAGCGCATTAGCTAAATATGCAACTCACTGTGATTCTGCAACAATTATTTATTTACCAAAGAAAATCGGTTATTCGTCCATTTAGAATATTTTTTTAATGTTGTTTGTTTTGTGTGTTTGTGACGGACAATGTTTTACACGGCAAATCGAGTGAAAAATATATTTAAATTTACTTAAAAGTGTTTGTGTCAATTTCTTGGACAAGTCAGAATTTTTCGAAAAGTGTATTTGCAGTGGACCCGTTGCTGTCAAATATGTTCGACCTGAGATACTGGAGATGCGTTTTGAAAAAATCATTTTCATGTCCCGATAATGACGTGAGATTTTACTTGTACACCCCGTAAGTAGCCACTAAGTATTTAACTCATAATTGTTCTAAAGTTCCAATATTTCATGAGGCTAAATTATTTATACAAATGCCCCTTTTTATTTAATTGCCTTATAATGATGTTAATAATATATTTTCACAACAAGCAGGCGTAACTGCGCAAGCCAATTAAATTTATAAATTGTTTAATCATTTACTACCAAGTACCTTCGTCAGTTTTCACGAATAATCTTCTTGATTAAGGAAACTTGATAAGACACATAATAAGAAGTTGACTCAAATATTACTTACATAGCAAAACACTACAACATTATTTGTATTATGTCACTTCAATAATTTTTTGTCTTTTTGTCTTGACAACTTGACAACTGCAGTTTGCTTCGACACGAGTGACTAAAGAAGTGTGTCATACTCTACCATTAATTTTTGTTTTTTTTTTCAAATAAGGACTGAGTCATTAAGTGACGAATCATGTGACCATGACAGCTGATATTAATAAAATTCGACTTTTTGTTTTTCCTTGTATAGTGATAATTTTTCCAGTTTTGTTGATAGGTACATGGGACGAAGGCATTTTTCTGCACTTATAAATTACGTCTTATCCTTATTTCCACTTTTATCTAAGTAATTTATAAATAAACAAATGCGTGTTAATTTACTCATTTAAATAAACAACAAATCAACAACACTACTTACTCTGTTTTAAAAACCAGTTTTTTATCAATAATTTGCAACACACTGCGTTTATTTAGCAAAATTTATAAAAACAAAAAAAATGTAAATCATCCAAATTAAAACTTGCGAAACGAAGTCCTTAAACTGGTCAAATTTCCTCCGCTTACCAGTCACTGTCGCTTGTTCATGATATAAGATTATAAGCCATAATATTTGCTATCTATAGGAAATATGGAAACACTTTTTAGCGAATCTGGTAGAAAAAGAATGCGAATAGACATAAGGAATCACTTGTCCCTTCCATTGTCTGGTTTCGATCCACTTCGAAAGAACGTCATCCTGATCCACGGATTCAATGGGACCGAGAGCAAGAGCCCCATGACAGTTCTAAGAGACGGTGAGCTATATTATGTAATGTGTTGAAAGTTTTCAAAGTCAACTCAAACTTCTTAAAAAAGGCTCCATAACTTTCTCAAAAACAAAATTATCTACTATTGTCTGTTACAATGTAACTCCTAAGTTCAGCAGTATTTTTCTTTTTAAATAAAAACCGCATTTAAAAAAAGATCCTGAAATTATAGCATTGAGCTAAAATTTGGGAGATACAATGATTAATATTTAGTTAAACCGCGAAGAAAAAGTGTGTATGAGGGAATAGAATAAATATATATTTTAATTATGTAGATCCCAGAGACTAAAATCAAAAATTTGAAAATATATACTAGAGACACTAACATGGGAATATGTCGGCTATACGACAGTTGCTATTAAAAATTTTTCACATGCATCTTGAGAAAAGATGGAATTGATACTAGAATAGCTTAAAATATTATACTTGTCAATCAGAATATTGCTTTAGCAGAGGGCTAAGAAGATTTGAGGGTTTAGCATAACATACTTTTATTATGTAACAAGTCCGGTAAACGGCATTTGACTCACGAGTTTACTTGACACGAGCGGAGCGAGTGTTTAATAAATGAGTGAATTAAAAAGTTTACCAAACGTGATGCATACTATACTTTTTCCACGATCGTTAGTTTTTGGGTACATTTTCGCAAAACAACACGAATACATTCACTGGCATGACCCTCAGAACTGACAAACGTCAAAATTCAAGGAGTAGGATATATCTCCCAAATCCGTGCGGTAAAATCCCGGAAATGTCCGAAGTAGCTCAGATCCGTGGGAAACGAAACTGACGTGGTAAAATAACGCTTCTGGCACACTAGATCGGTGTTTAAGTATTTTTTCTATCTGAGCTACTTCGGACATTTCCGGGATTTTACCGCACGGGTTTGGGAGCAATCGGATGTTTTCGGAGATATTTCCCACGCTTTGAATTGTGACGTTTGTCAATTCTGACAGTCATGTCAGTGAATACATTAGTGTTGTTTTGCGAAAATGTACCCAAAAACGAACGGTCGTAGAAAAAGTATAGTATGCAACACGTTCGGTAAACTTTTTGACTCACTGGTTTATTAAACACTCGCTCCGCTTGTGTCAAATAAACTCGTGAGTAAAATGCCGTTTACCGCACTTGTTGCATAATATACTATTACAGAGGGGAGTAGAAAAAACAATTTATCTATAAAACATTGAATTTTTGGCGTGCTGTTTTTTGTTATCGTATTTTATCGACACAGCTATTAAATTAAGTAGGATTGAAAAGGAACCTCATTGCTTTTTTTGTACATATGACTGTAGCTTCTGCGAAAAATTTCAACTACTACTACTACTACTACTACTACTTTGCTTAATGCATCGGAATCGGAACACAATTAAAAGAGGTTATTAATGATCGTACTAATTTTAAATTTATAGAATATCCCATCCCGTTCAGCTGTCTTTATAAAACTTATACCAACTTTAAAATAGATGTATCTTAATCGAGAAATAATAATCTGCGAAGGCTACCCGCTATGGGTTCGTAATGATATTATTTTCATTTAATATATCTAGTTAATAATCCGAATATTAGCCGAATGCTTCTTATCTTAGCGATCCAATTATTATAGACAAATTACCAATTTATCCCAATTACCTCCTCGGGTCGCCGAAATGGCGATTGGCGATTTGCAAATTACTGCACTGCTACCGGCATTTGGCTTTTTTTTCGCAGGAGCATCAAGGATTTTTCATTCGTCAGGATTGGCTTCGATCATTTTACTTAACAACACGGAATGGTTTTAATAAAATTTTATTGCACAGTTTTTTAGACGCTCTTGCTGTTTAAAATTCATTACCAGCCTGATAGATTTAGAACTTACATTCGGTGTATGGAAACTATTATGACGGATAAAACTTAAAAAATATAATCAAAATTTTGAAAGCTTTATTATTAGATTAACATTATGGTTTTTATAAAGAGTTCACTGCAAGTTCGCAACTCCAGATTTCTGACTTCTAAAATATCGTTATGTGTAAACGCAAGAATTTAAGAGAAAAATATCGAAAGTATATAATAGGTACAAAAGAAAAGGAATGATAATGGATCCCGCAGTAGTACCTCCAAAAGAATGGACGGGAAAATTGATCATTGATAATTATTATTTGCTTCCTATTGATTAAAATAAGATGATACAAAATTTAAAGGATCACTAGAAAATCCTTGTGGTTGTTGGTGATTACATTAATTTTGTTACCTTGAAATAATTATAACTCTTGTAGTTATTATAAGTTTCCTTCATCACCTTGGTGAAGGGAGTTTTGCTCTTGGTCAATTTTTCCTTTTTAAAAAGTTTACCGAACGTGTTGCATACTATACTTTTTCTACGATCGTTAGTTTTTGGTTACATTTTCGCAAAACAACACGAATACATTCACTGACATGACCGTCAGAATTGACAAACGTCAAAATTCAAAGCGTGGGAAATATCTCCGAAAACATCCGATTGTTCCAAAATTCGTGCGGCAAAATCCCGGAAATGTCCGAAGTGGCTCGGATTCATGGGAAACGAAACTGATGTGGTAAAGTGACGCTTCCCGCACGCTAGATCGATGGGTAATTAGGAATTTTACAGACGAGAGTATAAAAAGAGCATTTATTATTATTATTATTTAATTAATTCGATTTCACACCCTTATATAATCTCCTGGATTCTATACTATAGTCTTTACAGTACTACATATATTTATTCTTGCAAGTTGTTATAGCGAACATGGACATCCGACCCAAAAGAATAAAAGAACAAATTGAAAAATTCTTTATAATTTTAACTCGTCAATTGTCCGGATTATACAAAATCCTAACAGATTTTTTTTCTTTGTGAATATAGCGGGTATTTTCGTTAAAGTGAACAAAATAAACAATTAATTCGTTTGTGGCAATTAGTCACAAGAGCAAAAAGTAAAAGTGCTCACCCAACAAAGAATTTCGACACCCAATATTTTCGGTTATTTGTTACGTAGATACAAACGATGATGCTTTAGCTGTAAAATATTGCGAAAAGTTTGGAGTTTCGCAGCAGGTTTTGATATAGAAATTTCTGCAGTTAGTTTTCACAAAAAAAAACTCTTATTTATTGCAAAAATACCGACAGTACCGAATTAAATCTGCACTATTGCTAACTCGTTTATTATTAGGGATACAAAGTCGGTTAAATTAGCAAAGTGTATTTTTCATGCCAAACATATCATTCCCGCATAAATCAGAAAAAAGAATTTTTATTAAATTATATATATTTCACTTTTTCATTGCACAACTAGATTAAATATTGAATGGCAGGGCCGTCGAAAAATACTACTTTGCAAGTTTCTCCTAATTCATATTTCTAATAATAAAAATGTTAGCAATAGTGGGCACTGAATTGGTACCCCTTGTATATACCGTTAAATTAGTAAAATGTATGTTAAAAATCAACAATTTATAAAGAGAAAAAGCAAAAAAGCAAACACTAATCCTCATAATCGCCTACAGGTAGTGGGTCGATTTTGCACACTGATGAATGATTTATTTGTTACCATTTTTGCCATCGACTAAGATTTACGAAGGTTCTCTTCTTAAAGTAGACCAAAAAATCACCCTCTGAAAGAAACAAACTGAAATAATTATGTTATTAATAAAATAAACTGCTTTAGGCATTCTTAGGTAAATACATTAAGACTGTCAAGTAAATATAGTATATAAATAAAGTATTCAACTGGAGTGAAAATCCATTTAACACAAGCAATCTTCAGATTTTCGCAGTTATTTAATACTTTATGATATCTGTTTCGAAAACATCGTGCCATTACCAAATATAAAATGTGGCAATATAGTTTTTTGATTGTTGTTACATTATGTAAAATAACAAAATTATCGTCAAACTTGTGTATTTCTGAATTTAAATGAATGGCATAGTTAGAATCCGAACTTTTATTTTTGTACGCTTTTATGTTCGTCAATGCGTTTTTTGAATGTTCTACCCGTTTGTTTGATATAAATTTTTGGACATGATCCATTGATTAAAAAACAAAAAACAAACAGGTAGAACGCATTAACGACCATAAAAGAGCGTATAAAAATAAAAGTCCGGATTCTAACTTTGCTATTCATTGAAATTCAGAAATACACGAGTTTGACGATAATTTTGATATTATACACAATGGAACAAAAAGCACGGAACAAAAACAAAAATGAGATATTCGAATCTATTACTTAATGACCAAATAGATTTAAATGCTTCTCCGTTGTTAAATTTAAATTTATAAATCTACACCGGTAATTAAGTCTAAATCTATTACTATCTGATTGTATATATAGATGTCGTAATCTTCATATTTTGTATGTGATAAAGGCACGGTGTTTTCGAAACAGCTGTCATAAATAAATAACTGTGAAAATCTGAACATTTTTTGTTTTAATTTAATTTAAGTTGTGCCAATTTTAATTTTTTGATAAAGCTTGAGACTTATTCTGTATTTTTCGACTCTTGGCGTTTCGGATATCTGAATGTTAACCGCACCAATTTTTTTAGCTTACTTATACAGAGGCGATACGAATATTTTCACCGTCGATTGGGCGGAAATCTCCCGTTTTCCGTGCTATTTATCGTCTTTGTCCAACACGAGATTGGTTGCCCAATGTACGGCGAAGCTATACGCTTTTATGATGGATCACGGTGGAATCGCAGAGGAGACGTCGTGCGTCGGTCATTCGTTGGGAGCACATATTTGCGGTATGGTGAGCAACCATTTGGATGTCAAACAGCATACGATCGTTGGTGAGTGTGCTCACATCATCTCTACTTGAATTTTCAGTTGAAAACGCAAATGTACACTACTGTTTTAATTATGTAGGCTGGAAAAAGAGCCAGTGCATTTCTTTTTTCAATTTCAATCAAGTGACATTTTACAAAAACTTGTTTTTGCATTTTATATAGATTGCTAAATTCTATCTATTAAAAGTCAAAAACAAATTCGTCCAATTTTTAATATTTCAAATTCTGATTTCTTAAAGAGGTTTTGGTGAGAAATTGATTTTATCCAACGCAATTCTATGTATTTGTCCACACTAAGCGAAAGCGAGTTTTACTAATGACATGTATATCAAGTTTGCAATGAATATGTCACATTATAGAATACACAGAATAAATGCACAAGGCTGCGAAAAATAATTGTCAAAAACTGGAAAGGATTTCAAACATTTATCGGATTTATTCATTACTTTTAATACATGTACATATTAGCAAGCAATCCGCAAAAAAATATCTGGTTAAAATTAAAAAAAAAGAAAGCAGGTAAAGATTTCTGTGACTGGAGTTTTCGTCGTGGAAGCGTTTATAACTCTGGAGTCATTTTATCATTTACCTATAAAAACGCATATTGTTATGCAACTCATTTAAAAAAACAAAACAAAATCGCAATCGCAAGAACACAGTTTATAATAATATTAATATAGACTTGATTCAGGAAATTTCGACAACAGGAAAATTACAAGAGCAAGAGTGCAGCGATTAGACGATTCCTGATTTCTATACTTATAATTACAAATGACAAAAGACATATCACACCGTGCTTGTTTAAGTTATGATTTATATTTTTGTTAAGTAGCTACATAGAAAGAAAAAAAACTAAACTTATCTCCGTCAACGCTTTTTCTTTTTCAATGTCTAATTTTCTTTACATCGTTGAGAGTTAGTTTTTCTGGAAAACAATTTATTATCGCATTCTGAACGAAACGGGGCAGGTTAATTATAAAGTTGACAAATAATAATGACCCCTTTCAATCTTAGATTTCAGTTAGTCACGTGTGTAGCAAGTCACTTTTTTGAGTGGTATCCGACATGGCAGTGGTTAAATACGGAAGGAACAAAGAATCGCTTTTTCAAGATTTGCAGTTAGAATATGCCTTGAACTATACAAACCTTTTAAACGACCAATGCCCGACCGAAGCCTTCTATCTAGAAGTAGTTCCACAATGGTTGTATCTTTTTCTAATGCATAATGCTAGTAATATTGCCTATTTTATACTAATTCAGACGGAAGACGCTCAACATTTGCCGGTCGACCGAAAACTTTATCGCAGATTTTGTGGGTTTAAGAGCACGTCTTTAGGAATTCTGAAAATTCTTTCAAGGTCACCGTTGATTTTTTGGCATTAAAGGGTCAAAAACATGATAGAACTGCTTGTCATCAGTATATGACAAGTTTGCATAATTACTTCTGCAGGATTGGATCCCGCCAGACCCCTAGTGGACAGATTTGGCGATAGTTACTTTCGCTTAACTAGAGATGACGCTCATCACGTACAAGTTATCCACACCAACGCAGGCCTTTTGGGGGAAAAGAATCAAATAGGTCATGTTGACTTTTGCGTAAACGGAGGTATGGTTCAACCCGGATGCAAAGGCAATGTCGTTCGTGAGTACCATTTTCCCGTCAAAACCTAAATGGCAATAAATGTTCTTATTTTGCAGACATTGCGCGTTGCAGTCACTTCCAAAGTGCGTGTTACTTCGCCAAAACCGTAAAACAACCAAAGTCCATCATGGGGATGCCATGTTCTGGAATGTGCCCAAAGAAATGGACCAACTGGGGCTTTGCGCCTGGCAAACCCGTGCCAATGGGTCACGACACTCCTTATGGGTGAATAAAAACTAAGTGTCCCCAGTTTTGTTATTTTTGTTATTAATTTTATTTTTAGACTTCAAGGAACATACTGCGTGGAGACGGACACCAAAAAAGACTGCCCTTTCAACTAGTTTCTCTGATGCTCATGTACATAAGCATTCTTATTTATTAAATAATAACGATGAAACTAAGTATTTATTTTAAGAAAAAACAAACAAAAATACAAACATAAACAAAAAAAATCAGTACAAAAGAAATTCAGTAACAATTCTCTTAATACTTTTAAGGCACCTGGTAATATCCATTAGGTTTTCGCAACTATATCCCCTAGACTTGACTTCAATTTAAGAAAGCGTTTCTTAAACTCCAAACCACAGCCCTTGGAAAGTCTAAAATCGATCAATATTTTTCCATCCATATTTAGCAGATTAACCTTGAAAATCAACTGATTCTTTACAGAATCTACTGTGGACACAGTTACCTGCAAAGAAAAATAGTGCTAAATAGTTAGTGGCTAGCGTGATTTGCAAATAAATACATTTTTTTGCACTACTGCACACTCAAACTTTTTTAATACTAGTAGTTTTTTCAATCATCACATATATGGTGATTGTGGAAATGTTAAATTGTTTTTTAAGTTTTAAAATTAATAACACAGCTTTAAGATAATCAAACTTTTTTTTAATTTTCACATTAAGATATCATACTAAACTGTCATTTAAAACGTAAATGAGTTGCTTATTAAAACAAAATAAAGAGACTCACCATTCCCTTAACATCTATGGTCCAACTATAATGCAAACTATCCAGGGTTGAGCACAAGGTTTCCAAAGCAGCTTCCAAATCACAGTCAACATAAAACCTGGTCATTCTTTTCACCAAGTTGTGAAAATTGTCCTGAGTGACAGGACTCTGTGTAAACTGAAGAATCACATCCTCATTTTTGACTGGCTGCGAGAAGCATACTGAGCTCTTGCTATGGAGGGCCTTCAAATCAGTAATTAGTTGATTAAGAGAAGTGGGCCGAAAAGTGAAGACTGGCTGAGAAAGAGTCACTTGGGGTGTTTCGGATTTATTTCTTGTTTCTGCTTCGAACATTGAGTTGCAGCGTTTCGCTTCACTGCTATTGAATCCGTCAGGTTGGTCCGTTTCAATGACTAAAATCGAAAATGGTTTGCCATCTCAACTGCCACCACCTTTTTAAACATACATCTTTATTCAAGATTGTGTTCCAATTTTCAATAGTATTGTTTAATGTTCAATAGATATTACAGTTCAATTTACTATATAGCTTTCATCATAATGTAAAAGCTAATTTAAGTGGATAGTTCATAAAATATGACATACTTTATACATATTCACCAAAATATTGAACACAGTCCCTAAATCACATTTCCTTCTGCCAAAGTGAATGAATTCCAAAAACCAGAAAATATGACCTATTGGAATTTAAGTTAAAATAAAACAATAAAATTTATAAATTCAGAAATAGACAGAGATGACACTATTATCTGTTAAAGGAAGTGGCAATTAATTCACAGCATTTAATAAACAGGTAAATAAGTTTAAATCCCACAAACTTTTAGTGAATGTATATTGTTTATGAAATAATAATTTGTTATAACCATTATTGCTTGAAGTGAAAACTTACCATATACATATGTTCTAATTTGGCATTTGTGATTTCTGAGAGTTCTGCTTTGGTAATTTAGCTTTATGAGTATCAAAACAATCATACAGCTATAATACCAAAGCAGAATCATCAGATGTAATGCTGACCAGCCCTACTCGCACCTGTTGAATTATTCTCAAGACTTACCATCTCCAAAGCTAAACTTCATCCATGTGTGCTTTACGATTTGTTCCAGAGTCAATCTTTTTTCTGGAACTTCATTTAAAATTTGTCTAGCAAGGCTTAACGCGGTGTTCCCCAACTTAGACCACGGCGTTTCAGATATATAAACATTCTTCCGCCATTTGGAAAATTCCTCATTGTCATCTGATGTATCTGTCCAAGGAAGTTCTACAAGAAAATAACAAAATATACCGCTATTCTAATGTAAACATGTGGTTTTGCTTACCACCAGTAAGCATTGCAACAAACACAATACCACAACTCCAAATGTCAGCTGGCCGGGCAAAATAAGAACTTTTTAATATCTCTGGTGCCAAATATGGTTTGGTACCACATCTGAAAAATGGACAGTGATAATGAATTACAAAGAGATGTATGCCACTGACCTTTTATCAAGTTTGCGCTCTTTTCCTTTCAGTCGAAATATAGTGGCCAACCCAAAATCACTGATTTTCAAAGTACCATTTCCATCAATCAGAAGATTTTCTGGTTTTATATCTCTGTGTGCTATGCCTTTTTGGTGTAAATAGCTCAATCCATTTAGCAAATGTTTCATAAATTTTTGGGCCATCCCAGATGGCATACCCACATCTGGTTCTAAAATAGGTGGAAGTACTTTAAAACGCAATATAATTATCAATAAATTACCAATCAATTGGAATAGCTCTCCACCTGAAGCATATTCTAAAAAAATATATTCTCGATGTGGTTCCTGCCTTCTACCAAAATATCGAATAATATTTTCATGATTCAGCATGCTATGGAGTGTAACTTCCCGGTTAATATTAGTTTTGGCATCTCTGTATCTTGAATGATCTATAATCTTGCAAGCTATTTTTTCTTCTGTTTTCCGGTGCACTAATAGTCTCACCCTGATATTAAAATATAATTAAATTAAGTATTATTAAATTTGTAAATTTGAATTATCATACAAAGTATATAGAACTGCAAAATATTTTTCCACTTGAACAAAAAAAATTCTAAAAGTCAAAAGTTTTTAGCAACTTTATTTTACCTCAACGTGTCGGGGGGATGTTTGTAAATTTGAAATATTGATTTGCGTATCTGAGAAAATGGATCAAACTTACTCTCCATAAGCTCCCTCGCCAAGAATTGAGTCGTAGCAAAGCCAGTCTTCGACGAATGCAGTAGCTTCCATACTTGAATTCTATGTTAAGGAATAAATCGCTTTTTACAGTAAATTTACAGTTTTATTGGAAGGGCTTAAAACAATTGAAACCGGCACATGCCATGGATCACTAAGAATTGGAAATAAAATATAAAAGATGCACTCTAGACGCTACATATGTATTTTTTATTGAAATTCTAAGACTGATAATAACGGAAAATGAATCAACATGAACAATAGCCGATATTCGGACATGTTGAGAAGAGATGAATCTTGCCTCCTAAAATCGATTTTATAAACGGCAACATTGTTGCCATCACAATGCCCCTATAAGACGTAAACGTATTGCAATTGACGTAAGCGTCAAACGCCATGTTACGTAAAATAAAATGGTTTTATTTAAATTCCCTTTTATTGCCGCAAATTTATATTTGGGATTTTGGTTCTGATTGTGCTTTAAAGCAAGAACAAAAGTACTTAAATTATCAAATTATTGGAAGGCGTCGGTGGTACAATATTTCAAACTATAAAAAATCCAGCGAGATAATGCCTGATAAAACAGCGATGAAATATATACAAAATATACCTTAAATGGAATTGAAGCTTTATACCATCGAGTGTCCGATATAAATTTAAATCACACACTGTTAAATTAGAGGTCTGTGATCCAAAATATTAATAGAGTTAGATCGATCTCTGGTCCTAAACAATTTGTTCTGTAATAGTCTGGGGTTATATTTATTTTTGTAATGTTTTTCAAATACTTTAGGTACAATATTTTTGAGTGAAATAATTATTTAATGACTACGTTTATTAATTTATGAATAAGCAATCAGTGTACAACAATAGTTATCAATGTAAAGTTTTTCTTAAATGCTATAAATAGATAAATAGGTATGTATCTATACAATTTTGCCGCTTAGAGGTGAGATAAGGTTTTGAAGCAATCAGCAATTTTTTTTCGCAAGAATATCTTATTTCGCTTATACGACATTAACCAGAGTATGTCTTTTTGTGTCTTATCATTTTTCCATTTCTATTCAAAGCTTGAATGTACCTTATATAATTTATAATTTTTTTAAATCATTTTATATAAATCATAACAGATAAATCAAGACTGATCATGGAATATCCCACAAAAATAGGAGATTGGATGCAAATATGTATACTTGGTTCTGGTGCCTTTGGTGACGTTATGTTGTGGACAAACAAAACTACTGAGGAATCTGTAGGTAAAGATGACTGTTTTTTTAGAGTGAATATATAAGTATAAAATAAGTCTATTTTAAGCAATAAAAAAATGTAAATTTCAAACAGCTTCGGCATTATCAGACAAGCAAAAAGAAAGATGGCATAAAGAAGTGGATTTTATGAAGTCCATTAATCATTTAAACATAATCAAATTTAAAAGCCTTCCTCATGATTTGGAAACTATCCTGCTAAAGTATAATCCTACAAGACTGCCCCTTTTATCTATGGAATATTGTACTAAAGGAAATTTGAGGAGATACATGCTTAATGAGCCCATTAGGCTATGTGGACTTCCAGAGTCAGATGTTCGAGCTGTTCTCAGGGATATTTCTAGTGGTCTGAGTTACCTACACAGCAATAAAATAACCCATCGTGATATCAAACCTGAAAATATTGTTTTGCAACACTGTGATAACCGTAAAACTAATATTGTCTACAAAATAATAGACCTAGGGTATGCCAAAGAGCTTCAAGATACTGTAGTTAGTTTTGTAGGTACACTGCATTATTTGGCTCCTGAAATTTTCAGAAATAAACCATATGATCATACTGTGGATTACTGGTCAATGGGTTTGCTTGTATTTGAAATTATTTGTGGTCTTTTGCCATTCCTGCCTGAGTTGAATCCATTTGAGAGGTATTACTTTAATTCATTAGAGTTACAACACACATTAGCAATCATCAGTTTTTGATTTTATTGTGAGGATAGTTTATTGCTCAAGCAAAATTGGCTTGTTATTATTGAAATAAATAACATACCATAGCAAATTACTTTGGAAGTTCAAAATGTATTAACTTTGCTATTTTTTATCATTTTCAAAAATTTGCAGTTTCCCATAACCATTGAGTTTTCTTCATAAATTAAGTTTTCCTTACTTATGCAGGTATGAAAAGATACGCGACAAAGGCCCAGATGACATCTGTATATATATGCAATATTCAGGAGCATTGGCAAATTCATCTGAGATAAAAAAGGAAAACTTTATAACATCATGTCTTAAACAAAACATTGAAACATGGTTGAAGCGAGTACTCCAATTTGATCCATCTAAAAGGTGTTTCTCCTCATTGGACATCTTCGAGTACCTACATTTCATTCTCGACAAAAGAATAATCAAAGTTTTCTCTGTATATAAACTCGAGTTCTATTCTTATGAAATAAATGATGGCACATTATTAGGAACCCTAAAAGACTGGATATCAAGGGACATTAAGATACCAAAAAAGGATTTACTTGTGTTGTTTAAAAATGAGCCCATGTTTTGCCATGATGACGATGCCATATTACATGAATTGGTAACTGAAGATACAGTTTTTGTATTTAAAAAAGGTGCATTGATAAGTGACAGCATCAGCTTCACAGTTCCAAAGCTGGTGCAACAAGTGCTTCAAATCTCAGTGTCATTCCAGTTGAGACATGTAAGAAATTTGTTCAGGCAGGCATTGTTTTTCATTTATTCAGAAAAATTGGCTGTGGAGATGTTACATACTGGTTTTGAATTGTATGTAAAATATTTGGGTGTGATTGTCGAGCGGGTGGGACAGGAACAGAAAATTGCCCACTTAAAATTAGCTGCTCTGTTAAGACACATAGAATCTATCACAAACAATAAAATATGTGATGTAGAATTAAATGACAATAAAGAAGCCATAGAGTGTCTGGTTCATTTAAAGAGAGTTTTATCCAGCCTGGAAAGAAGCAAAAATAAGTATATAGAGTTTTTGAAAGAATCGAGCATTCTGACACGTTTATGGGCCGAGGTCCTCGACTTGCAGGAAGATTTGGAAGATTGCTTCAGAGTATGCCTCATTTCCGAACAGTGAGTATTTAACAAATAATATGCTAATAAGAGGTTTGAAAAAATAAATCTTTTATTGACTCCAAGTATGAAAAGTTAGTAGGACCTTTTATCTAACTATAAAGCTATGAAAACGGTACTGGCAACTAATAAGATACGTTTATTAAGATAGTTTATAACTTCACGGAAGTTGCCGAAAACACAGGTTCCTCAAATTTTTGTTCATATATATAGGTTTTAGCGTTTTAATTTTAGTCGCGTTGTTAATCTGTCTTTAAGATTTCCAAAATTCAAAAAAACGATTGTAAAAGCTCTTAGAAAAATTATCATATATTTGAAATAAGGCAGTGGCGAGTCTATAATATCATGGGATATCAAGTTTTCAGTGGAAATATAAATGGGTCGTAATATACCTTTAGAGATTTTTTTTTGTAGACCGTTTATCATATATTCTCAACTTTAGTGTTAATTAAAAGTAAATTGAAGTTGTTTACAGAAAAGTTGCATCTTCCTTCGTTTTTTGAATATTTCTAATAATCAAAATGTGCTTTTTTTCAGAAATATTTGAAATTGCTCAAGGCTCCGTTCTAAGGACAATTACTTGTTTCTAGCTATATCTTAACTCCAACCTGTCAAATTTTTAACCATTTATTTGGATAAAAAAAAACTAAATAGTTGGTATAATTTTAAATTTTGGAACAGTTGAATTATATTTTTGTATTTTTAATAACTTAACGATGGTATAATCTTCGATTTGTAGATATTCGAAAATAAGCAGTAAAAATTTTTTGGAAATGAAGAACAACGAAACCAGCAAAGAAATGCTGAATCGGATCGCCAAAGTTATATCGGACACTATAAAACTAAAAACGAAATTTATTCATAAAAACGAGAAACTTAAAAATTGCGGGAGGTAAGTTTTGGTTAGTTAGTAATTAGTAATTTATTAAAAAATCTACTAGGCTACACGACTTACTTTCGATGTAGACACTTAAGAAAATAACTTCTAATAAAAGAAAACTGAAGATGGAGCTTACAAAGCTTCCTTTTAGGTAAAAAAATTTCGCCCATGTCTTCTAGTTTTTTACCCATTTTCAAAATTAATATCTACAACAAAAGCAAATAATATATGTAAACATTAACGAAAACAGTGACATTAACATTTTAAACTAGACTGATTTAAATTAATTGGATATGATAATATTTCATTGCAAGGCATTCATATGGGAGTAGGTGTTTCCGGGAGTCTCATAAACTTTTTCCTTTTCAAAGAGTTCATAGACAGATCCCGAGCCCATGGTGTGTTTTGAAACCGAAGCAAAAATGATTTCCTATCAACCATGGAGTGTCATAAAAAAATATGGGTCATATTAGTAAAGTTTTGAGATTTAAAATTCCGAATGGTATATGTAATGTGCGTTTTGTAGACTTTTTTTAAATTGTATTAAGCTATCCCTAGAATTTTGAAAATTAGTCCAAAGTTGAGGGAGGTATGACAAATCTAAGAGCACCTTTATTTTTTAAAAAAGGGAGGGAGTCATCCATTTCATTATTCATTGTAGAGACTTTGGTATTTTGTCGGCTTTTGGGGAGGAATTGATTAACTGGATTCAGGATTATGTTATTCATATTGACCATCTATCCAGTGTATTCGAACAAACTTATTTGAGATATCGACAACTTGTAGAGAAGGAAAATACGAAAATAGGTAATATTTTTATGTAAACTTTTTGGTGTGCTTATTATTTTTTCATTTTCGTAGAGAATTGTTGTGATTTGGAAGAAGGCAATTGCTTGATCGAAGAAAATAAAGATATTCGATTCAAGTAAGTAATAATTAGCTTAAAACCTTTAAAGTATTCGTTTTTTTAGGTTTGAGGATATTTTATCTAAAAGTGTCCTGGCTCACAAAAACTATATTAAAGATTGCCTTGGTCCTTTAGGTTAAGTACCTATTTTCAATGCATTAGTATTCCAAAGATAAGGTTCTCCAAAATTAGTTTTTTTTCCTTGTTTTTTCATGTTGCATGTGCAATCAGCATTGTTTTTTTTAGTAACATTTTATTGCAAAGGTGAATGGAAAAATTTATGATGAATGTTCGGCCATCCATTATTTTATTGTTGCTTCGTTTTAGTAATATATGTCTATATTTATTGCTAAATATGTTATTATTTTATTATGTTTTTGAAGTTATATTATTTCTTTTGCAATGTATTATTTTCGCATAATATAGATTTTTATTGATTTCCAAACGAATTCTAAAGTATAACGAAATAAAATAAATGCGTTTTTTTTTATTTGTAATCTTACAACAGTCTAATAAATATAAAACTAACGTTTTATACACGATATATCTACTGCGGTTAATGCTTATATTTTATATAATTGTTCAAATTATTCCAATTGGAGGAATAATCAATTTTTAAATGACCATAGTTTGTCAATCCGAAATTGTGGGGTTTCTTCCTCCTTAGTCTTCTGACGTCGTCATATATGGGCAGCGTTGACATATCGTCGAGTCTGCTGTATATGTCATGTTTCGAACCATATGGATCGTAGCTGCAATGAATAAAAGGTACAAATTATCATTTTTGTATCAGCTTCATAGACAAGTAACGAAAGTGTTCATTGATTGCCACTCACGGAATTATTGTGATACTTTTTCACAAAAACCAACGACACTACCATATCATACTTCCGCTAATTGCTCCTTATGTAAAAATTAAAATTTTATATTTAAATGCGAAGTATTAAGAACAATGAAGTATCATACTCGTAATCCTCATGAGAACTTATACTTCTGTCCAGTTGTGTTTTGTACGTTTGATCTACAGATACTGGAACTGCCACTCGCCTGAATCGACCTGCCCTGTCGTATATCCCAAAGACCGAAGAATTTTCTCTCATGCTTTCCTCATAGGCACTTTCTTCGGTATCTGACAGGGAAGAAAATTCATCATGTAGATTTAGTTACTTCTGTTAGAAGTTAATAGAATACCAGGGTTTGAATAAATTTCAAAATTTGTAAAATTTGTTAAAATAGTCCGGAAATACTTAGTAGAATTGAATTTTGTTCTGAAAGTTTGTATACCGTAATTAAATCTCCTTAAACTCCGTTAATTCGCACAGAATATTTCCAAATGTCAGAGCTTTATGGGATGAAACAAGTTGAGCCACGTAAAAGCTTTAATAATACAACTTTTGCCATTTTCTTTAAAGTAAAAAAGGGAAAACTTAAAAACAAAATGCAAGTGAAACGAATTGTTTAAACATTGAGGAGGAAAAATTACTTAGTTTTTTTTTCAGGTACACGGGTTGTTTGTAATTATTTAAATTTTAATTATTTAGTATTTTGTCTATTCCCGTCTGTAAAATACCTAATTACACACCGATCTAGCGTGCGGGAAGCGTCACTTTACCGCGTCAGTTTCGTTCCCCATGGATCCAACCCACTTCGGACATTTCCGGGACTTTACGGCACCGGTTTGGGAGCAATCGGATGTTTTCGGAGATATTTCCCATGCTTTGAATTTTGACGTTTGTCAATTCTGACGATCAGTGAATGTATTCTTGTTGTTTTGCGAAAATGTACCCAAAAACTAATGTTCGTAGGAAAAGTATAGTATGCAACACGTTCGGTAAACTTTTTAACTCACTCGTTTATAAAAACTCGCTCCGCTGCGCTTGGCTCGTGTCAAATAAACCCATGAATCAAATGTCGTTTGCCGCACTTGTTGCATAATATATTATTATTAAAAAATTGACCGAACGTGTTGCATACTATACTTTTTCTACAACCGTTAGTTTTTGGGTACATCGTCGCAAAACACGAATACATTCACTGACATGACCTTCAGAATTGACAAAAATCACAATTCAAGAAGTGCCGTGCGGTAAAATCCCGGAAATGTCCGGAGTGATTCCGATATGTGGAAAACGAAACTGAAGTGGTAAAGTGGCTTTCCGCACGCCAAATCAGTGTATAATTAGGCATTTTACAGACTGGAGTAGAAAAAACTACTAATCCTATATGTGTATATAATATTGAACCTACATGTAGGTGGCAAATAATTATATTTATTCATCTTGCTTGTGTTTTTAGAAACATGTTTTGATGTGGTAATCATATCGTGTTTGGAAAATGTAACTAGTTTCGCTTTTCCTACCATATTCTTCAAGCCGACCTTAGTGTTTTGGTGTCCGCCAATAATACTATGGGATAAAATATACGGTTTGGGTCCATTAGAAATATCTGGCGACCGGGTCAACAAATTTAGGTACTTCAAATTATACAGGGTGATGTAAGAGGAGGTGCTTAATCTCTCTAAAATATTTTCAAGAATGCAGTGTTATATATAAACATCTTGCTTAGTTTTAATGGAGAAGTATCTATATCATTTCGTTTTTAGATTCTACGCAAGTAATAAAGTAGATTTTGTTCAGGTTTCTCTATGCCTATCTATGTCTTATCGTTATCAAAATAAAAAATAATTTCCCAGATTTTTAAGCAATTTGGACCCTCGAAGAAATTTTAATAGTTCCTTTTTTTAATTGAACAAAGAGCCGAACTTTTGCAAAGAGCTCCTGAAAGGACTCAGGCATACTATTTTAGATGAAATATACAAAGTGTTCTGAAAATAACATTTTGTTTTTTTAAATAACACACCCTGTATATTCTAGGGAAGAAACTATCCGAATTTTGTTTAAGTTTTCCTATACCTATCTCTTGTTGTCTTTGAAATAAATGATTATTACGTAATAACAACATTGATCAACATTATTTTGAAAAAAGTTTCGCATATAGACAGAACGAACTTCGTAAAACCTCATTTTTATTTAATTTCAGTTTCTTTTCAACTATATTGCCCTTTTTCTTAAGTCTCAAGACAGAAGCTTCCATCCTGTCAAGTTCCAAACCCTATATTATATATATTATAAATAAAGCCTATACCGAAAAAGCGCGAAATAGTTGGACAGAAACTACAAATAAATGAAAATGAGGGATTTTGTTGTTTATATACAAGCGTTAACACTGCATACTTCAAAATATTTTAGTGCGATAGACTCGATAGAGCACCTCATTCTGTTCCGTCAGGCCATCTACTGCGCACCAATATATTATAATACTCCATTTCTTACCATATTTCTGCTAAATATCTACGATTACATATACGAACCACGGTTGCTTTGACAAAATTGCAATGTTCTTCCGTACGTTTCAAAACAACATCGATATCGTAACTTAAAAACAATGGAGCGGAAAATTTGCACCAGTATTTAACTAACAATTTACATTGTTTACGTTCAACGGCGTTCGTTACGCCGTTTTAATTACATACTTATATACTATTGTAGTAGTAGTAGTAGTAACCTTTATTATTGCATCTACAAACAATATTGAACAAAAAATTTGTTCGGTTATCTTGAAAATACTAATTCATTAGACAGTGATATTTGTTTGATAAAAGAAAACAAAAAAGTGGCTCTGCCAACTTTTCCAAACAGTTGTATGTTGAATATCCCAAAATTTTGAAATAAAGACTTGTTTGTTATTAATATTTTAATCATTATTGATTGAGGGGAGCCTGATAAATAAATACCATTATTGTGGAAAAAAAAAGACAGTAAAAAAATAAATACGCTCAAGTTGTCCCGATCCTATATATCAGCCACAGAGGGAACAAACATCTGTTTAATATTTCGCAAGTAACAGGTAATTAATTTGCTTAGTATGCATCGGCGAGCACAGTTCTGCGGTAAATCATATTCGTTTTGCAATTGAAAAAATGGTAGATGTCGCCAAATATGATGTTTATCGCCCACTTAAACCGAAGGACGGTATCTAATTTACCATGAAGCGCACTTACCACGACAAGAATACCGTAACAATAGGGTCCGCAATTACCGCAGCGAAATTCGTTTTACGGCATATTTTTTTAAAAATAACTAACGTGTGTATCAAATGTATACTTTGTTTGTTTACTACGAGGCGGATTTGATAATTTCGGTGACGTAATTGATATTGACCAACGATCCGACTGCAAAGAATGTTACTCTGATGGTTTAGATTATTTTTTGTAGTTGGTTATTGTATAATAATATATTATGCAACCGGTCGATGCAAAACACAAGCTTTGATAACAAACTTTAGTGCGTCAATTTCCCATATAGGTATTTTGGGTCGTATGTGATGATGAAAAACTCAAAAACCAATGGTTAGCGTATAGTATAGTTTGCAACTCCTTTATAAACTTATTCATATCATGATCGAAGTGTCGCGTATAAAACGTGATAGAAAATGATGTGAAGAAAATTGCAGCATCTAAAAACAGGGTTGTTGAATCTTTTTAGTCAATTACAGGGTATAGATAGAAAATTATCGAAAACGCGTTTGGAATATCGAGGTAACACACTGAAGGTTAACGTTACATTTTTTGTTTTGGCTTTCTGAAAGCAAGATGAATTGAGCTTAGAAAAGCTTGTACTTTTTCGTTTATTAATCATTATAATAAAAAAATTTAATTGCACATGAGTGATAACAGTGCATTTAATTTGAACTTGGTACAGTTTTTCTCAATTCTGAATACTTCAGGTTTCTGGAATATTGGTTGATGTGGCTTCATTCAATATATAGGAGTGGGCCAAATCAGTTTTAACTGGTCTTAAGACAGGTGAACGACTAAACCATAGTTATAGTTGCTCAAGTAAAAAAAAAGGCAACTTAGTTTGCCAACAATTTTGAACTATGATGTTTATATTTATAGTGTAAGTAGTGAGTTTTCCGAGTTATACCGAAGACACCTTTTAAGCATAATTATTCTGGTTTGCAGAAAGTGACACCAATGTTTGCCAAAAGTAGTGGAGTACAGTTTTTCGCTACACATATAAACTCGCCTTCGTGTAAAAGTGACTTAGGGAAAGATTGGCTTACTGTTGGCTCCTGTAACACCCTGTATATGTAATTTAGTAGTAGTAACTCACTTTGTTTATTTTAATAATTTGCTTTTCCTAATCATTAAATACATAAAATAGTATTCAGATATAGTATGTTTATAACAATTTTTATTGTATTATTGATATAAAGATTACAGATATCTACCTAACATCCCAGTTTTTTAAAAGTTTAATTCTTATTTTCTTAGAGACGTGCAATGAAGATTTTTTTCTCAAATCAAACAAGAGGACAAAAAAATATATATTTTTTAATATTGAGCAACCCGAAATTAGAATAAAAATAATTAATCAATCTGCTTATTTACAGTTTTGCATAGTCCCTGTACAATGGAACGTTTTTATTTGTTGTCGAGGCGGCGGTTTAAGTGAAAGCCTTAACTAAATTGCTTGTCTCAATTTATTTGTTCCGTCAATATTTGTTTTTTCAGTTATCTTAACCAGCGCCTGAAAAAGTTTCCACATAAATGACACTTTTAATTAATTGCGTTTTTATTTTGAATTTGTAATAATGCTATCTGCATTCGTTTTCGCACGGTCTCAACAATCTAGTAGGCGAAGGTGAGGCAAGGAGGACCACCTCAAAAATTAACCAAAATGTGTTCTTTTGTTTTTTCTTCAAACAATTATAAATTCTGGTTATTTGTACATGTTTAGCACTTTCCGTAATACCAGGGGCAAAATGGACCGCGTAAAAATTCTGAAAAACGCGATTCCATATCATTATAATTAATTATAATTAATTTATTGAAAGTGTGTTTTTTTTGGATAATTCTATGGATTTAGCCTAAAACCAGAACTTTAGAAATCTTAAAGATACCAATAACAATTTTTTAATCGGTAGAAAAATAGTTACTAATCAGTAACTTTTTTTTAAATAATTATAATTATTATATATAACATTATAAATAGGGGAGTGTGGGGCACGACGGCCACCCTAGTGCAAAAATTTGGGTAAATTTAGATAAAGTTAAAACAAATCTAC